TCATTCTGTCATAGTCAAATCTTATCAATAATTATCATCTTTGAGGGGCTTTTGCATATAGGTGTGTGTGTGTGTGTGTGTGTGTGTGTGTGTATAAAACATGTTTGTGAATAGACAAATACACCCACACATGCATACTGAGAGGATGATGAATAACAGCAAGGAATGAAAAAATAAATTAATAAAATTGATTTATTTGAGAACAGGGACTATGTTTCAACATATTTGTGCCCCTGTAGCCATGCTGCAGTAGACATAAAATATTTACTTTTGAGTGCATTATTGAAAAGATGAATGGGTAGAGTGGGAACGAGGGAATGGAATGAAAATGTCAATTAAAAGAGCTAATTTAAACTCATCTTTCCAGAGATTTTCCTTGGCCTTAAATAAGTCCAGTACTCTAAGGATGGCAAGAATGGGAGCTAAAAATAAAACTGCATTTCATCTGATCCTTATTACATTCTGGCCTTGCATGAATCACTAGAGAATATTGATGTAGTTGGGTTACATCTGTCTCATAACACAAAGGTATTAACATACTCAATAATCAACTGCATGGCACTCCTACAGTGCAACTTAGACTGGTAATTAGTAATATTGTGAAGACTAATAACTATGTAAGCATTGTATAGAGAATTCTACAGATTCAGTAAGAAGGAAGAAATACTCCAGAGATTGATGCTTGTCCCAGATCATAATGATGTTCAGAAAAGCTGAGTTATATGAGAATTTTGAACATCCAGAGCACAGTTCCTCCTCCTCAAAATAAAGTGAAATTGCAGAATTGTATTTGTTATCACCTGGAGATTAAATTACATGAATACTTAGGTTATTTGTGTTTTCAGATGACATTTAATGGCAGTGTGAACTTTATCAAGTTACTTAATTTTTCTAAACCTATTTTTTTCTATTAAAATGTGATATAATATCTCTCTCGCTGAATTAGTGTGAAGATAAAACAGAATGAGAATTACAAGAGATCTTCAAAAAGTTTATTAAAAAATGTATGTTGAAAAAAACCTGTGCACAGATTTCAAATCGGGTAGGCATCAAAACAAACACACGCTTTAAACCTAATTTCTCAAGACTGGCATGTGGTGTGATGGTTAAAGCACTGAACTCCCACATGGCTGACCTCAGTTCAAGTCCTGGACCTGGTGGCTTGCTTTCTCACTTTCCCTTTCTTTCTCTCTGTCTCTCTCTGGTCAAATTTTAAAATAATAATAACAAGCAAAATTAAATAAATAAACAAGTCTTAAAAGAAAATAAATAAATAAGTCCCATTTTGCCATGAACTTTATGAAGTATCCATGCATGAAAAACATTTGGAAAGGGTCTATAAGAGTAGAACCTCTGTTCACTTGAGGTTCTTTTTTCCTAAACTGGTCATTCTAAGTATGGGGGATGAGCTGTGAAGGACAGACCATATTCGATCCACTTCAACCAATGCATGATAGAATCACAATTACAGACCTATATCCTAATACTCAAGCCACAGCCAGTCATTCAGTCACTTCTTCCAGCTCCTCCCTGTCCACATCCACAGCACAGAGACCACATCCAAAAGGATTAAACATTCCCTCCCCAAATCCTCTTGTGATAAGCCCACCAACCGTGCAGCCCAAACTACCCAATTGCCTAACTTTCTCTGAAGTCTCACAGGAGAAGGAAGAAAGGAGTATGTGTGGAAGAAGAAAAATACCATAGGGGAGAGGGGAGAACAGGTGAAGTGAAATTAGATTTTAGGGCCCTCCTTAATGATATTCTACCTGCTCAACCTACAGGAAGAATTCTAAGTCTAATAGCATGTGATGGCAAGTTTATGAAAGGCCAAACTGTCTGTTAGCTGGAGTGGCATGCTCTACAATCTTTTTCTTTATTTTTTTTTTTTTGGAAAGGTTTTTCTATAGTGCACGTACACTCGCCAGACAGACAGAGAGAGACAGAGAGACAGAAAGCGAGAAATCATCCCCCAGGGAGAATGGCCATACTGCAATCCCTTCTCCTCCATTATCCTCTCAAGATCCTGGGCATTCAAGCACACATGCCCAGCGGGAGTTTAAGCCACCAGGTTTGAGACTTGAACCGTGGTCAACTATGTGGGAGTCCAGTGATATAGCCATTACGCCAACTGCTGGTCCCACGCTCTACATTCATTTCACGATTCTCCCCCTCACAGTGAGATGGACCAACTCAAGGACCCTGAATTATTACTATGATGTAGTTTTAAAAAAATTTTCAAACTCACTCCAAAATAAGGACCAAGGTCAGAATCATGAATTTAATAAAGAGCAATCTCATTTTTTAAAAGGCACCATATCAGCAAGTCACAAACTTACAATTTTTATATATTGCCTGATTTTCTTCTTTATTGTATTTTAAATTGTGTGAATCCTTTTTATCTCACAGAAAAATCTATGACATTCTCACAAAAAAAAAATGACATTCCCTTTTTTGTTTGTTTTTGTTTTATTTATCAGAGGATGGATGCTCTCACTGGAGAGAGCGAGAGAAGGATAGTGAGAAACCACCCCCACGTGGGGATAGGCATGCACCATTCCTTCTCCATTTCTCTTTTTGGGATTTGGGGCATGCACACACACATGCCCAGTGTGTTTTACAAGCCACTGGATCTGAGATTAAGCACTTAAGTATCACATGGGATCTACCACCATGCCACATGTTGGCTTTTATTATTTTTTTGTAGAGGTTGTTTATTTATTTATTTATTTATGTATTTATTTTTGCCTTAGAGTGCATATGCTTTCTGGAAAGAGAGAGAGACAGGGAGAGAGATACACAGAGAGAGACAGAGAGAGAAAAAGAGAGTGAAAGAAAAAGTGAGCAGTCACCCCCAAGAAGGATGGCCATGCTACCATTCCTTCTCCTACATTCTTCTCCCAGGATCTTGGTCATGCACACATAGACTCCTGGAATGCATTTCAAGCTAGGGTCCAGGACTCAGACTGCTCTCAGCCACGTGAGAGTTTAGAGATGTAACCACTACACTATCTGCTGGCCCCAGAATGGTTCTTAAAATGACATTCTTAAGTGATACTCCCTAAGCCCCAGTTTAATTTTAACTCCCAACTCTATGCTTATGACTAAATCCTCATATCCACCACTGACCCTCAGATTTACATATTCAACAGCCTGGCAAAAAGATTTTTTTTTTAAATCCACTTTGGCATGCCATTGGTCTTTTATGCTCAAAATGTCTGGAAATAAGCTTGAAAGCTTTCTCCTATATTCTCCACTTCAGTAGATGGCACCAACATTTACCCAGGTAACGAGACTAGAAACCTGGTAACTACAGCCCTCTTCTGCCTGAAATACTAGCCCCCCATGTCCTTTACAATAAAGCAGGTTTGTGAGGCAAGGTGAAGGGCCTTCCAGCTCTTGGGTCTCACAGGCTTTACTTTTTACCACGCCCTTCCTTGCTGGTACATTCCGGGAATTTCTAATTGATTCTAGCCCCATTCACAGATCAAAGTCCTCTATTCCTTTTGCCCGCAATGCCTCTCATACCACTCTTTACTTGCAAGCCTACCTTCTAGAGCAGAACCCCATGAGCTTCGGGATTGTGTGAGCTAAGTAGACCACCACCTCCATGAAGAGCCACCTCGTCTTAATGATAATGTCAGACAAGCCCACTCCCCACCATTCTCAATACACGTTGGGCACACAGAAGTCACTCAACACTCGTTAGCTGTTTATCACCACTGCATTGGTAATGATGATAACGAAGAGCCTTCACACAGATAATGAATAATAGAAAAGTCCCCTCAAGAGAACAGTGTTCACAAAATGTTTAGGAAATCCTCTGGAGCATGAGGGATTATAAAAAGAGGAAAACCCTTCTGCAGTAGGAAGTTTTAGCAGCAGGCTTCCCTCACCCAGTCTGGAAAAGCCTTTGAAGTGCATGACTGTAATTAAATAGGGCAGCTCTTTTATCCCCTTTTGCTGGCAAACTGTCAGGAGACAGACCAGAGGAGTTTTCTATCTAACTACACGCAGTGAGGCTTAAAGAAATGTACATGCATATGTCTCTGCCTTCTGCGTTGTCAGTTATAACTGAACTGAAAATCCATCACTCGATGTTTGCTAAATGACACTTTTTCAGGTCAATCTCTGACGGCTCTTCTGTTCTTTGTACCATTATCCATCCTGGCCAGATGCATTTTCCTTTGCATTTAGACTGTAAGCTCCATAAAGTCAAGGACCTTGTTTCTCTCCTTTACTGGTAGAGCCAGTAGCCCAGGATCCCCCCAGATCCTGGCAAGAAGTATCTGCTCCAAAAATACAATATTAAACTGTGTGAATTGACTAATTGATATTCAATTCTAAACTATATTGCAAAATAATTTCAATATAAATCATATCATAGAGTTAATGTACAGAAGTCTCCCTGAGAACCATATTCTCCTAGGATTTGTAATACAATGATATTGTTGCCTTAACTAGCATTATTCTGGTCGTTGTCATCAGGTCTGATAATTTTGTATTCTCAGCATTGAATTTAATAGGTATCTGGAGCTAATGGGTCTTTTTGATGAAGAAACAGGCTGATTTTAAGAGAGTGGGTGCACTTAAATCTCTAGTCTTTGCCAAATGTGTGGATTCTCTGGAGCATTTCCAAGTTCCTAGTAGGAGCAACACAAATGCTAAATGCTTTAGGATGCACATTCAGTTTCTTTGATAGGAAAGTGATTTTTAAAATTTAAGAATAGGAATTTGGGGGTCAGCCAGTGTTCTCCAGGTTAAGGCATTGGATTACCAATTGGCTGACCATGGTTTGAGCCTTGGCAGCTTGAAAATCATGCTAGGTGCATGTGTGTGTGCCCAAAATCCTAAGAGGAGACTGTAGGAGAAGGGATTGTGGCATGGCAATGTCCTCACGGTGGGGATTTATAACTTTCTCTCTCTTTCTGGTGAATGCATATGCCCTATCACAAAAGCAAAAACAACAACAAAATAATTAGAATTAGTAGACCACTTACCTGAACAGAAGTCATCAGAATATCGGTCATAGACAGCTCTACAGTCTCTTTCATCACACTCACAAGTGTCCCCATGAATATCTCCCCAGTCCCCGGTGGGGTCAACATCATGGCAGGAACAGTCACCACACACACAAGTCCCTACAAGGGAAAAAGAATGTGAATGGGTCCAGCCGAGAAAATCACAAAAGAGTAGCTCACACCTTGATTTTACTTCCTGTTGCTTACTTTGTATTTAGAAAGTACATAGAGATGTTATAAAGATAAATTCTAAAAAGGAAAAATACATCTGAAGTTGATAGCAAAGATCTCTTAATAAATAGACATAAGTTATTTTTACATCTATAATTATGTAAGACTGAAATGTCATTAGCACTGTGGTAGCTTCCCTCAAAGACAACATCAAAATAATCAATATAAAATACAATCTTTACACTTGAAAAGTTTATAATCTGTTTGACAAAACAAAACAAAACAAAAACTAGTAAAAGAAAATTGAGCAAACACTAAAAGCATGAGTACTAACATTTTTTAAACTAGTATACAAATGCTATAAGCATTTGGGGAAGGGAAGATGAATGTATGAATATGGTCTGGAGTGCAGCTGGCTTCCATATCCACAGGTTCTACTTCCAAGATTCAACCAAATGCAGATAGAAACTGTTACTTTGTTGCAAACATATAGTTGCATGTATACTGAACATGAACAGACATTTTTCCTTGTCATTATTTCCTAAACAATACAGTATAACAACTATTCACATAGAATTTAATTGTACTAGGTATTAAAAGAAATCTAGAGATGATTCAAAGCATACAGGAAGATGTATGTAGGTTATGGGCAAATACTACCTATTTTATATAAAGGACTTGAGCATCAATCTAACTGACTCCATGTCCAGTCCTGGACCCAGATCCCCACAGCCACCTGGGTGGCTGTGACTAGGAATGGATACTCTGGATTCACGGACAAGAGGGCACCTATTCTAGATGTCAGAGGTGGAACTTAAGGAAAGACGAGAAATCGAGAATAAGCAAAGGAGGAAGGAAATGGTCATGGGAATTTGAATGCATGTCAAAGGACACTACAAGGCACAGTTTTCTAGATCTCACCAGGATGGAGGTTAAAGAGCTTGTTGAAAATCAGACAGAGATATAACCTTAATCTAGGGATCTACACAGGGAAATGCACAACTGTAAAGCATATTAATTTTGTGTGGATTTCCAATAATTGTCTTTAGGACCACAAACTAATCATGTAAGGGGGAATAAAGTTAAACATCTCCCTTTTTTATATCAAAATAAGTACCAGTTGGATTAACTATTTAAATGCACAAAGTAAAACTATATAGAATGAATGAAATCCCTTTTTGGTCAAGAAACTCAAATCAGAATTAATAAAAGAAAAAAGAAATGAACATTTTAAAACAATCTAAAATTTTGATTGGCTGTGAAAACAGTATGAACAAACTAAAAAACCATAATGAAATAGTGCATATGTATTAAAGAGTGGACTAGCCAGTTGCATGTTAGTTGAAGTAGTTGATCCCACATGGCAACTGCACACATGGAGTTCTGGACTCAGAGGCTTGAAAAACATGCCAAGCAAGTGTAAGTGCATGTCCAAAATCCCAAAAGGAGAATGGAGGAGAAAGAATTGCAGCATGGCCATCTCCCCCTTGAGGAGCATGCTTTCTTACTTTCTCTCTCTCTCTCTTTCTCTCTCTTTGTCAAGTGTATATGACCTATAGCAAATAGAGGAGGTGGGGGCAGATAAAGAATATTTTCACAAACATATAAATAATTCTTAGGAATCAAGATATAAAGAATAAATATGTCTAAGCAAAATAGGCAAAGGCAAAGAGTCACTACGATAGGAAATTTTGTACAAACGTACTGGTATAGTAACATGAAAAATCTTTACCTTTAAAACTACTATCATCACGAAATAGGACTGGGAGATCTTCCAAACTAGCGAGTTAGAATCCTTTCAGATGCCTGATTGTCAAAGGTCAAAAAAATATTTCTAGGATCCAGAGTTGGTTAAGGTTTGGGACAATGGGTACTCTCCTATGCTGAACTGGAGTCCAAAATCTGCTACAACTCTCTGGATAGCAGTTTCACTATATGTGCTTCTTAGATGTGCAGTGTTATTTAGTATAATTGTCCACTTCAATTAATGTATCCAGTCAGAAGGAAATGTACATAAAAGTACATGTTCAGGAATATAAAATGTGATTACACTCATCTTACTGAAAAACTGCCAGTGACTGAAATATCAATCAATGGGGAATTAGCGAAGGCATAGTACATGTTAGCGTGGATTATAAAGCAACCATTCCGAATAATGATTAGATCTTGGTCCGTGAACATAAAAAGATAAGCAAATGAAAGCAATGAGTTTATAGATCAGTATGTATAGAATGATTTAATTGTTGTATTCAACAGAAAGAAAATACAGAGGAAAGGAAGCCACAGAAGGTTAAAGATCAGGTACCAAATGTAAAAGGAGGCTACACCTTGATGTCAAGGTGGCAGATCACTTTTTGGGACCAGCAATTAGCATAATCACTATGTCACTGGACTCTTATATACTCGACCACGGTTCGAGTCCCGGACCCAGTGGCTTAAACCAGGCACGTGTGCGTGCATGCCCAAGAACCCAAGAGGAGAATGGAGGAGAAGGGATTGAGGCGTGGCCATCCACCCTGGAGGGTGATTTCTCACTTTATGTCTCTCTGTCTCTGTCTTTCTGTCGAGCTCACATGCCCTATAGCAAAAACCTCTCCAAAAAAATAAAAAGGTGATAAGTCATTTTCTTTTTTACACTCTACTTTGTGATCTCAGATTTTAAAATGGATATGCATGGCTTTTCCTAATAGTATAGATGGTGTTGGTACAGAGAGTAGGGACGACCAGTCATACAGATTTCTCAGGTATGTGTGAAAATGGTTAATATGAAATTGCAGAAAATGCCGTGAGGATGACCAGAGGACATTAACTCTGTCACCACTTAGTTGTGACTGCAGCACTGCTTTTTTGGACTCTGAAAATGAGCACAGAAGGAAGTGAGATAGCTATGTGAGATACCAGTGGCTCTCTCTAAACAGAGAAGCAACGGTAAGGAAAGAGTTTCAGGGCAGATACAGTGGTGCCTTCTGAGAAAAACAAGAATCCATTTCAATGCCTGCTCCTGCTCTGCCTTCATGTACTCCCAAACCTCATGAGCTCAGAGCCTCATTGAACCAAGCTGCTCACCATTTTTGATGGTGCCTCTGCCAGATCTCAGAATTGGAATGTCCCACATACCGAGCAGGGGAAGGCAAGAGCCAGACCTTGGCTAGGTGGCCATGTGCGTTTTGGAAAAACATCCATCTCTTAGAGCCCACGTAACTCCTACAAAACCCGACTCTATTCCACAGCCCAATCAACTCCACTTTCCTCCTCTCTTTCCAACATCCAGACAGCTGTTCTCCACCGTAACACAATCCAAGCTCCATACACTGATGAAGGCTATGAATCCTATTGAATAAAAAGGACTTAAAAAGAAAACATGTCCTTATATACTTTAAAAAGCACATGAAGTGAATTAGTATGATAATAGAGTAAGATGTAGTCTGCAAAAAGCAAGGATTTCCTTTAGGATTTTTATTCTGAGCTCAAGTCTTTTGCTTTCCTTTCTCTGTGTACAGAAATATGGCACATTTTACTCTCCCATGCCAATTTTTAAAATTATAAGGCTTCCCATGTAGGTATTATATATTACAGGGAATCATTATTTATTGAAAAAAATTATTTTCCAGCTATTTACATTTTATAATTTTATGGATGAAAATATGAACAGTTATATCATCAGGAAGCCAGTGAAAAGTCCAGCACAGCTTTCTGTTACTTACCAAAACAATAGATAAAGGAAAAATAACAAGGATGTTCAAGGATTTTTTAAAATGTTTGAACCATTTGATTCAATACCAACAGTAAGTTAACTAAATTTAATCATAATGTAGCCATATTCATATATTTTTAAAATTCCTGTTTAAGGTCAGTCTAAATTTCATATGGCTATGTGATACATACTTTGTCATTTCTGTATACTGAAATGAAATTATATCAATCCTGCATTTCAAATCAACCTTCAATCTACTCATAATTAAGACAAAAGGGTTTTCTGAATGCTCTCCGGATAATTAGATGCTCATGTCAGAGACTGTTTGGTTAGTCAAGAGACATTTAACAGAACTAGCTACAAAAATTGCCTTTTAGCTGTCCTGTGCTATTTCTGGATGGCCGCCAAAAATACTCCAGTCCCTATGTTAACTATGTGTTCCTTGAAGCTTAAAGAATGACAACAACTTTCTTATCTTTCTGTTTTCTGTGCAATAAAAAACAAGAAAGAGATTGTTAGTATAGTAAATGTTGACTTACATCAAAGAAAGTGATTGTAAAAGATGACTTCCTCTCACACTAAAGGAAATACAGAGAAAAGGAGTGTTCAGAATTAAGAGCTTGGTTTTCTCCTAATTATGTAGTAACATGCATGAATGACACACCTCTGTTACTGCAGATTTTGCCATCTGGAGATGTGCATCTTCGCTTGCTTTCCCAGGGGGTGATGTCGCACTGGAATTCGCATTTATCTCCATGCCAACCAGCCTCGCAGTAACAGTTTCCACAGTAACACTTCCCATGGCCTTTACCCAAAATGAATTTTATACAGTGAGGAAAAAAGCAACTTTTAAAAGCAGAATTAACTTTCTACCTTTTTTTTTTTCTTTTGCCTTTTGAAATAATATAGCATCTCTTCATTCCTTGCTTAAAATCATTACACTATATGGTTTTCTCCTAAAATATCATAGCTATGCCAATACTTGAATAATTATATAAGGCAAGTCAAAGTGTCCTTTAGTTTGACCTAGACAGGGAGCTGATTCAAATAAAGGTACTTTTTTAAGAAAAGACATGAAAGATTATGAAAGTCTATCATTTTGTTATCTCAAATACATGCGTCAAACTCAAGTGCATTAAGTATTCTCTTTAAGGGCATTACTTGAATGAGTCATTAAAATATTTCATTTGAAATCAACTATTGAGAAATTAATGGTGCATATTTACTAAGATACACATTATTAATGGCTGAAACATTTTTTAAACCAGAGTAAATATTTCATCTTTCCATTCAACTGTGTCCCACAAGCTGTTGTGTCCTACAATATGGAAAGGAGATTTCCAACTAAGGCCCTATCTAGTACTCATTTATACCAATAAAAACTCCATAGAACTTGGCCTGCACAAATTGTCCTCTTATTTGTCAAAGGGATATGAATGATGGGTATGGGCGGCCATCATTTTGTGTTCAGATGTCACCCTTTCAGCTCATACCACTCTATACGCTGTGATCTGCTCATCTGTATTTCACTCCAAGTCATCTGTAATAAACTGCCACCCCCTTGTTTCCCTCATCCATGCTTAGCAATCCTCGAATATGTCTTTTACCCACAAATTCTCCTCATGTGTATTCTCTTCTTCATGGTTATACCACCAAAGCATGAGTGTATATCCTTGTTCTTCTGTTTTTCACTCCACTCTTTCTGTGTAATAAGTGTTTGTATTTTGGGACCAGCAGATGGCATAAGAGTTATGTTGCTGGATTCCCACATGGCCAGCCACAGTTCAGGTCCCAAACCTGGTGGCAGGTCTCAAATCATGCTGGGCGTGAGTGGATGCATGGCCAAGATTCTAGGAAGAGAATGGAGAAGAAGGGATTGTGGCATGGCCATCTCCCCTGAGGGGTGATTTCCACCTCTCACTAGCTCTGTCTGTTTTTCTCTGTTTTCTCTGGTGAGCACTCGCACCTCTTTTTAAAAAATTTTAAAAAAGAGTTTGTATTTTATCAGACTCTGGCTAAAGTTTCTGCTTTCTATCTCTTCTCCTACATTCATAAACCCAGAGGCCCATGGAAAATGAATTATATAATGCTGTTTCTAAAGTTTATTTTATTTATTTCATCTAGTAGAGAGAAAGATAAAATAGTAGAAAAGCAGACAGGCAGCATCTCAACAGGGTCATGATGCCAAGATTCATACCCAGGCTCCATCAGTTCACCCAATTCATGGGCACATGCACATGCACTGTGCTCAGGGAATTCTCCTAATGTGAACCTAGAAACTTCCTCATGGAGGTCAGCCTCATGGAGCATCATGTTTTACCACTGCACCACCATCTGGCCCCCATATTTTTCATTCTGTTATTAGAATATTTTTATTCTCACACTATGGTATTTCTGGGTAATGCCAAGAGCATTAGTTGTGCTTATGAAAATCAAGCATTAAATATAATAGAACATTTCGATCTTCTATCCTCTTTATGTCTATCAGATGAGACTTCTATCAAGCAGATATACAACTGGGAGAGAGAGATGAGGAGGAAGAATGCTACAATGAGATACAGAGAAAGAAACAGGGACCCAAGAAAACTATGCCAAATTTTCTGTCTAAATGAATTATAATTACCATATCCATAGAAAACTTCTCCTTAATTTAAGAGACCATTTCTAGAACAAATTGTAATTTTTCACACTTTAGCAAATATAAACACTATCAAATTACTTCATCAGCAACAAAAATCTACACATTTCATTTATTAATTAAAATTTCATTTATTAGTTTTAAAACAGCTCTACATAAAAAATAAAAATAAAAAAAAGTAAAAAAGGGAACCAGCAGTTGGCATAATGGCTATGTCGCTGGACTCCCACATAGTCGACCGCGGTTCACGTTCTGGACCCGGTGACTTAAAACTCACACCGGGCATGTGTGCGTACGTGCCCAAGATCCTGAGAAGAGAATGGAGGAGAAGGGATTGTGGCGTGACCATCCCCCCTGGGGGGTGATTTCTTGCTTTCTGTCTTTATGTCTCTCTCTGTCTGTCGAGCGCACGCGCCCTATAGCGAAAATCTCTCCAAAAAAAATAAAATAAAATAAAAATAAAATAAATAAATAAATAAATAACAACTCTACATGTACACACAGCAAAACCACTTTGCAATGCCATATATCAGAAAGTTGAGGACTGTGCTGGAAAAAAGTAATGCTGTATACTAATTACTTTTCATAAGAGTTAGGTTTTTTAAGACTCAATCAACTTCTTAGACTATGAAACATGTTTCCTCTGTAATTTCATACAATTTATATGTACATATATGGTGCCACGTATGTAATGATTATACTCTCAACAGAAGATCATAAATCTACATTCCTTATACTAAGTTTCTTTGTCTATTTATTAAATTCAGCATTGAGTTCAGATTTTAGTAAGACATCATTGAGAGGATATGAGTGAGGAAACAAAAATCAAGTAAACTGCCTGTGCGCAGAGATGGAAAATTAGATAGATATCGATATAGCTCGAATGAAAATACTGTAATGAGACACATCTGGATAACCAAGATCAAATGTAAGCTTTGGGCCAATACATGTTCCTTCCAGACAATAAACATCATTCTCTGTTTGTGTAACTTGACAGAGTAAGAAAATATCTTAGTGTTGCTTCACTGACAGACTACAGAGTTATCTCCTAACAGGTTCATTTCAGGTGAAGGTCACATGGGAACATCTACAGCCCCAGACAATGTCACCTCCACAAAGTGTTACTGGGATGCCGTGATCAGTGACTTTGCACCATGAAATTGCTTAAGCATCAAACAAATGGATGTAACATGAAGAAAGTTGAGAGGTAAACATTTCCTGATATGTTGTATCCAATTAAAGTTTTATATTTACACATGTAAATAGACTTCAATGGTGTACATGAAAACACACTGGCCCCAAAGTATGTTCTCTTCTTCTCTTTAAATCTGTGATGACTGAAAAATGAAACACCAAGAGGACACATATATAATACTTATGAACAGATTCATCTAATTGTTCTAATTTGTTTGTACTGAGTCCCTTAGAATTAACTGAGCAGCATCTAGCTTAAGTCATTAGGTTAGAAAAATAAGTGGATCTGTGTCTGAGTGTGTGTGTGTGTGTGTGTGTATTTTGGTGGGTTGTGGAGACCAGGGGGAAAGGTGTGCTAGTGATACTTTCTTCTTAGAGTCCTCTGGATCCTCTTGGTCCCATTTGACCCTGATCCTTCCAGGGAAATACTCTTCTAAATTACCCTTTCTGCAGTAATGAATGATGTTGAGTTTAATTACAGCACAGATTTTACCTAAACTGAGTTATTCTCACCACTGCCTGTTTCCCCTTTCCAGTGCTCTTTAAGGTTGCACATTGAAGCTCTGGGTAGAGGCTGGCAGGTAGAAAGGCTAAAGAGAAGGAGCATATAGGTGTGAGGAGGGACCCTTCTAGTGGTACTCTAAAGTCCAAGGCACTGATGCAGTTCTGAATGCAAGGGGTCAGGAAAACTCTTTAGCGTCAGACAGACACCAGTCTAAATTCTACTAGAATTGGTGGAATGACCCTGGGTAAGTTACAAAACTCTCCAAGTTCTAATTTTCACATTTGTCTGTGTGGATAAAAAATAATTCTTAACCTAGAGAGATGTTGTAAGTCTGAACCTAATGAATGTCACTCACTGCAGCAAATATGCAAAAATATGGCACCAGCAAATATGCGAGAACTACTACAGCAGACAAATGGAGTGAGTGATGGTGGAGCATAGAAAAAGTCCTAGAAAATATTGTCTAAGTATGTGTGGGGCAGGTAGTGTGGAGACAAACTCTAGGCTAACAATCCTGTTGACTTCCAATGTACCCTGAGGACATTAGATTCTATGAAGGCTTATGGTTTGGAAAGGAAAAAAGAATGAAATTAAAACACAGGTTAAGCAGTCAGATGGTAGCCCAGAGGTAATGTAACTGAATCCACATGGGGAAATCCCTAGGTTCACGCGTGGGACCTCCCTGAGCACACCACACACACACACACACACACACACACACATATGTGTGGCTATAATTTGAGCTTGTCAAAATTGGGAGTGGATCACAGCATAAAAGACTGTCTGCTGTACTCATCTCTCTTTCTCTCTTAAAAGAACTAAATAAATGAACAAACTTTTTTTAAAAAAAGTACAGTAAAGAGACTAGGAGAAAGGGACAGAATGCAGCATTGTGCTAGAACTATGTCAGCCTTATGCAGTGGACCTATTGCCATCTCCCCTGGGAAAATCTGGTTTTGCATTTAAAAAGTATTTGACGACTTGAAATACCTTGGTCTAACTTTCCTTACCTAAAATGTTTTCCAAATAAACATAAGTTGAAATTGAATTAGTGTACTTGGAGCAGGAACTTACATAGAGTTTACAAAAGCACAGTGAAATAGATGAAAACCAGTTAATATACATACCACCACATATTTCTTCTGTTTCATCATCTATGCACTCTCTGTCATCACATTCACAAAATTTACCATAAATGAGTCCATTTCCATCTGAATTATCACACTTACACCTGCCACAATGGCATGTACCTAAGCCATTGAAATAAACAAAAGATTGTTACATGCATATACATTATAATTTAAAAATTTGTACACTGTCTCTTTTACAAGGGTAGATAATTCAAGTACCTTAGCATTCCAATGATGTCTTTCTTGGGGTATGAGGAGGTAAAAAACAAGCTGTTCTTTCTTGAGATTATGACAGCACAGCAATTATATTTTATATCACACAGTATCATGACTGACCTCAAATAGTTTAATAAATGAAAGTTTGACCTTCTCAAGTGCCAGACTACTTTGTGCATGTCCATTCAACCAATGCATGAATGAATATCTCTTATTACACTTGAGTCTGAAATGAGCTAAAGCATAAAATTTTAAGCTCTTATTGTCCTCACCAGTATATATTCAATACTTTGTATAACATGTGAACATACTATGTATATATAATATTTATGAAAATAATTCATTATCAAATGCATAAATGAAAAAGTCATATCCCTCTGATAATTTCACATCCTCAGCATTAACCAATACAGATGTTCTAAAGACGTTGAGGCCAGAGTGGATTTTCTTAGGCATAGGTTGAGGGGATCTAATCAGAATCTCAGGACAGCTTAGAGTGATAAAGGCACTGAAGTCATCTGGTCTACCCAAAACTACACACTTACCTGAGGATTTGATTACTTCCCCCATGAGTAATTTCACTAATAGTAATATTGCACTTAAATAACACTGAGAGGGAAAATGTTACTTAAGACACTTTCTTTTAATACATAGTTTTACATTTTAATTGATCATTGTAGAAATTGACATGTATCAGATGAGGCTTTATCACTCACCAATACCACACCAAACTCTGGAAATCCAGCAGGGGATCAAGTCAGCCATAATTCTCTTCTCAGTGTTGTAGGTGAGTAAAAACCAAGGTGAAAAAATACACAGAGAAGTGCAAAGTGTTGCAGAAGCACATAGCAAAGGGATTTATCTGAGGTCAAGTGGCACAATCCCTGAAGATAGAGCTGAGAACTGAAAGCCAAGTTAGGAAGAAAATAGCTAAGGGAAGAGATATGGAGAAGAGGCTCACTTCAAGAAACAGATGGTAGCAAAGGCATTGTTAGGAAAGAGGAGATGAAAAGGGAAAAAATACCAAACAAGATTGGAATATAAAAAATACCATGAAAAATAATGTAACAAGAAAAGATGCAGTCTATGAATGTGTTATAGGTCACGTTAAAAGTCTTAGACTTTAATCTAGGAATAAAAGAGAAGCCATAGAAGTATTCTCAGCAAGCAAGTCATGTGAGCCGATATGCATTTTTACTTGAGTACTCTGCTGTCCTCAGAGAATGAACTAAAGAGAGACAAAGTGGATATAAGGAAGCAAATTAAGAGTCTGTCCCATTTGTCTGGAGGAAAGAATATAAAGGCTGAACATAAGAGAGCAGCAAGTTTAGAAAGAAGCAAATGCTCCTTTTCAAGAGAAATGGAAGACAGCATTTGGGGACCAACCGTGTGAGGGGCAAAAGACAGGGAGACACCAAAGATGGTATCAACATTTGGCTTGAGCAACTGGATTATTGACAATTCTGCATGTGATGTCCTGGAAAGAGCATGGATTTAGAACTAAAGTGGACTTAGAGTCGAATCCAGGTTTTAATCCTCAATAGTTATGCATTGTTTAAGTCATTACTTTCATCTCCTAGTTCTCATATTCCTTATCTGAAAATACTCTCTAACTCATAGAATAGCTAGGGGAACCAAGTGATAATTAGATCACCCAGGCAACTTCTAAAAAGCACTGCTGTACCTGGTACATAATAAGCTTTCAGAAAGATATGGGTTCTCCTTTTCCCATTAAAATGTTGAGTATACTAATCACAGTTGAAATATTTTTTCCAGACTCCCCTTGTATTTGTGAATCATAACAATGCCCTTGTTTTTATATCTTCTGCAAAATTCCATTACCCAGATTACTTGCAATTTCATACTATCTGGAAGAGCTTTTCTATCAGTTACATATAAATGGTGATTTTGAAGAATTTGAGTTTATTTTTCTACCTTGAGAATTCTTGTGTAAATTTTACTTTTATTAAACTTCATTTTCTTGTGCTTCCCCTGAAAACTATCTTAACTTTTAAAAGTTATTTGAAATCCAATGTTATAATTCACGATATTCCTTCATCTGATCTTTACTCTAATTATCACCCTTATTTCTTATTTTCACATTTATTCATCCTGTTTCTCAGCCATCTACACATCTAGTGAGCAAACTTTCTTGTTACCTATTGTGTTACTGGCAAAGTACTAAGGTGCTATAGGAGATAATAAGATGATTAGAACTAAGTAGATCGTAGATCAAGAAGAAAGACATAGTCAGTTTTATATAGCATTTGCCACAAATCTTTTGCAATGACTTTGTGTAATGTGTTTTCTGATTTTATATGTAATATGCATTGGTTTTAAAACAATATATACTATATATAAAACTGTATATGTAATACATATAGGCTGTATATATTATATATAACCTATATATAATATATAACTCATATATAATATATAAAACCATATATTATATATAACCTATATATATTTATGACCTATAGATTATACATAACATATAGCATATGGTTTCTATATATAATACATACACAGACACATAAAATCAGAAGACACGTGACACAAAGGCATTTGCAACAGATCTGTGGCAGATGCTTGACAGTATTATAGACCTCAGTCTGGTTTTGTGAAGGGAGAAAGGCATAGTGAGGGAGTAAATTCTTCAGCTGGCACCTGATAGATGGACAGAATCCCAACAAGTGGAGGTGAAGATGAGACTTTTGATGCTGAGGACAGAGTCTGAGGTAAAGAACAAGGATAGAGACTTAAAGACACGTGCAAAGTCTGCCTTGAGTTTGGAGTAAAGGGCGGGTTAAGTCAGACAGTAGAGAAATCAAGAATACCTGCTAAGAATTTTAGATTTTTTCTGTTGAAACGTTTCATAGATTGGGAGCAGTGATGAACTTGGTTAGGGGTGTGGATAGAGAAGGATTTTTCCCTAGGAAAGATGGAAAGGAACAGCTCCTGCCCCTGAATTCTACAGTTCCTCACCTACGTCCCCCACAGGCAGGCTCACTCTCATCTCTCATCCACACTCCAAACCACTCCTGGCTGATGTGAAAAGTTTACCACAGCTCAGAGACTTCCTGTCTCACCCATAACGCAGAATTCACAACTGAGCCTCCAAGACATGGCATGTGGGAGCCCAGGAGACAGTGCCAGACTCTTGTGTTCATGATGTGTCATACTGCTTCTCTCTCTGGATTGCCAGTTAACTCTGTCTAGGATTGATCTTTGGCTTTATGCTAGGCTATTTTAGCTGTGATTTTTCATCCTGCCTGATATAGCTGTCTCCGTCTTTGACGACTCACCAAACGTGAATACCAACCTACACGCCTCGGCAATGGCACCAGAGCCTCTCCACACTCTATGCCCCATCTCTCTGGGTCCCCTGCAGAGTCAGCTAGAACCTGATAGTCTCCAGCACTATCTATCTTACCCTTTTCTGCATACATCCTCTTCCATTTCCATTCCAAGCTGCTTCCAGAAAACCATGGTGTGACATGAAAGGGGTGGACTGATAAAGGGAACCCATAGGTTAATGTAATTTGGGAAGAATGGCTTTGAACTAGACTAGAGGAAGTAGGAATTAAGAGAATGATGAGAATGAGATTGTCAAAGTTAACATGAAAGGCCACATTAAGTGAGGACGAAAACATAAAATGTAACAATGAGTATGAATTTACCTTTTGGCCCAGAAATCTCATTTCTGGCAATTTAACCTAAATCTACAATCCTCCCCCAAATATAAAAATATCTATATACCGTATCATTCTGTGCATTATTATTTGCAATTTTAAAATATTGAAAACTTTCTAAATACTTAAGCAGAGGAGACAGACTGAAAAAACTAAATAAATATACATAGAATTCAGTATTGTGCTTTTGGAAAAAAGGAGAACCATTTCTCTGAGCTGATGTAGAATAAATTTCAGGAGATAATATTCAGTGGCAAGGGCTAAGTGAAAAACAGTATAATATCTTCTGTAGATATTATTTAAAATAATAACACATACTTCCATCTATTCATCTTCACAGATAAACACATATAACAGAGTAGAAAGCAAAAGTCAGTTACCTACAAGCTTGAGAGTAAGCAGGGTGGAAGGCTGAGTGAAAAATGTGATGAGTATATTTTTTCCTATAGTTTTGGCTTTTGGAATCATGTTTATGTTCTATGCATTATAAAATATAATTATAGAATAAGAATAGGCAGAATGAAAAGAACATAAACCAAAATCAATCTAAAATGAATAAGCTCAACTGTACAACAAGTACAATACCCACATCAAAAGGGGAGAAAAATAGAAGGAATCCAAATAACTTAGGAACACAGCAGCTGATGAGACCCAGTCGAGGCCGTGATGAAGGTGGAGTGAGGAAGGGGGAGGAGATGAGTTGCAAACAAATCACGATTTTTTTTTTTGGTAGATTTGTCTTATACAGTGGTATGTATAAAGCAATTCTGAAAAGAACTATAGATGTGGTATAGGATTAAGTACACTTAGTTCCCATTATGGAAATAAGACATGCAAATATAGAATAGTGAAAACAAGAAATAACCTTGTAGGAATGAATTAGAATTAAATATATTGGAGTAAATTTATGATTTTTTCAACTTCTTTTTTTTTAAATTTTTTTATTTCATTTCTTTTTATACATTCAATCACATTATTTAGCTTACAAAGTGAATATTTCAACACGTAAATATTTCTCCCTAGTCCAGTTGATAAAACTATAAAATATCTTCAACAGATAATATGAATTCTTTGTCCCATTAATGTTTTTCCTCTCAATTTTTCTTCTAAATGCCCTTCCTCAGACCCTACTCTTTCACACACACTATATCTGGTATTCACATCCATTGTTTGTGTTTAAATTTATGATTTCTAATGTAGGTATAGGGACCAGCAAATGGTGTAATGGTTACATTGCTGGACTCCCACATAGTCAACTGCAGTTTGAGTCCTGGACCCGGCAGCTTGAAACTCATGCCAGGCAGGTGTGCATGCATGCTCAAAATCCTGTGAAGAGAATGTAGGAAAGGGATTGTGGTAGGCATGACCATTTTCACTGGGGTGGGGGGGTGATTTCTCGCTTTCTGTCTCTCTTTCTCTCTGGCAAGTGCATACATCTTGTATCATAAATCTCTCTAAAACTCTAAAAATAAATAACTAAAATAGGTATGTATGTATGTATATATGTATATGCATATGTATGTGTGGGTGTAGCTATGGATATTTACACACACACACACACACACACACACACATACACACAAAAATATTTCAAAAAGTTTGTGGAAAAGAGTTAAAATACAAGGGTATTTTGGTATAAAATATTTTGAAATTTATGCAGTTTTTTTCATGATATTTATATTTCCATGTATTTTCTGAAGACTCTCTCCCTCCCTCTCTCTCTCTCTCTCTCTCTCTAGAGTTAAAGTAAATTAAAATGAAAACAAGGCCTGAAGAATCCCTAAGCAGTCAATGCTAGTCAGGCCTCATAAGTAACCTTAAATTTAATTGATATATAAAATGAGATAATGTTATCTTGAGCTATTTCTTACAAATGCCTATATTAAAGAAGACCTGAATTTAAGTTCAACCAATTGGAAGCAACCTATGAGGTTACAATTACAGAACTAGAGACCTTTCAGCAAGAAAGATCAAATAAGGCAACCTATAACTATAACCTATCAAGGATTTCTTCATTTCTGTGTTCTTCCTATAAAATCCTGTCCCTTATGTTCCCTCAGTGACACTTTCAAACCACTTCTGGTTTTGGGGCTGCTTGGTTCATGATTCATTGATTGTTCAAACTCTCCCCCCATAAAAACAACTGCATTATTCCTCAATATACATTTTGTAACCCATTCAAAGAAAGAGCCGAGACAAGTGCACCCTAGCAGAAAGAAGTATTCCTAGTGCTCAAAATCTTTATTCCAATATCATTCTTTACTAAAAGCAACCAGGGCTCTTAGGAAAAATGGCTGACTCCAAAGCTATGAAAGGGTACCTATCGTACAACCCTGAAGTGTTCACTTAGGCCAAAAATAAAGAATTGAAAAAAAAAATAAAACAAAAACAGCGAAGGCATGTCACAAGGACACACAAGTTAACTTGAAATAATAGGTATTGTGATCTCAGACAGGTAATAAATTATTAAGTAAATGGAATATCAAATAAGTAGTAAATGAGAGAGAGAGCTCTCATTTGTAATAGAACATTGAATGCCAACTAGTAAATATGATGGGAATGTTAGAATTTAGAATTGTCATATTCCTTTTAAATTTGCCAGAGGGCACATGTGCTCACCAGAGAGAGGCTACGAGACACAGAAAGAGAGAGGGAGAAAGCACCCTCTCCCAACAGGGCGAGGTCATACCACCACCCCTTCTTCTCTATCCTATCAGGATTTTGAGCAAACGCACATTTGATGAGTCTTTCAAGCACTGGGGATGTAACTTGAACCATGTGGTTGGCCACGTGGAATTTGGCTCCCTCAGCCACCAAGTCACAGGGTAGACCCAAGAATTGTCACTTTCCAATCATCATTGTCAATACTGGATTGGGTGAGTGTCATCAATGGATAATACATCCAGAGTAGTTTTAAAGAGGAATAAAATATCTGAGTGGTTTTAAAGTGTTTCCCCACAGGTAACTGATTTGTGAAAAGCATAAATCAGTAATGTCTGAGTTGAGGTATCAGAAAACACCTTGACCAAAGGATCAGAGATCACCTGGCCAGTGATAGGAGGTAGATCCTTTGTGCTTCTGGATGAAATATCTTCAGGCACTAAGCTGTCTGTCTAGCATTTCACTGAAGAGTTTATAACACAAACCTCATCATGAGGAAGCACCAGGCAAATCCAAAATGAGCAACAGTTCAAGTCCCAGACCTGGCAGCTTGAAAATCATGCTGGGCACATGTGTGTGCGTTCTCCAAATCCCAGGAGGAGATGGGGGAGAAGGGATTACAACATGGACATGCCCTGGGGGAGAGTGATTTCTCACTTTCCCTCTCACTGTCTCTTTCTGTAGCTCTTTGGCAAGTACAAACACCCTACAGCAAAAACCTTAAGAAAAAAAAAAAAAGAACATTGGGTCAAATGAAAAAACTGAACTGTGGATGGTAGATTACAAAGAAGTATTGTGTCAGTGTTAAAAAAGAATAGAAGTAAAAATATCATACAAATGTGTTTTTTAATCAAATGTGTCATATCATCTATTGAATTAATTCTGTATATGTCCCCTCTTTTAAAATATGTTAATATGATGAATTGTGTGTCTAGATTCCCTAATACTGAAACATCTTTGGATTCTTAGACTAACCCACCTTTGATAACAATGTATTATGTTTTTTTTTAAAATTACTATATTTGATTTGAAAACATAAAATACATAAATCAATCTAAAAACAAAGAATTCAAATCCAAATTAAAATTAAAAGGATTTTGAAAATAATTCACCTTTCAAGATAAAAGAGGATATGCTGGGTGCATGTGTGTGTATGTATGTATTGTATTTCAAGGGATGAGTGTTATAAATGAGAGGTAAACAAATTCTATTACAAAGGAAGAAGACTTACGCTAGAGATAAGTCAGGGGAACATCATGAACATGGACCTGATTGCTAAGACCATTTGCCACAATCTCTGATTGATCTACTCCTATCTCGCTTTGCGTATGCCCCTGCTACCTACTAACAAAAACACCCTGTCTGACCTTAATCTACACTGAGAGCTTTTTTTTTTTTTTTTTTTTTTTTTTTTCTTGCAATCAGACTGTGAACATGCTCCAGCTCTGATTGTAGTAGGTCCCTCCTGGTGATGTGAGCTTCAGCGGGGCAAGTATTCATTCACATAGTCAAATCCTTGCCTTTAGCATTAGTAGACTGACAGTTCACACCTGGGGGTTATATTTGAATCTCCTGGAGAACTTAAAAAAAACACCAAAGCAGGCTACTCCCCAATGTAATGGAAAAAGACCCTCTGGTATAGGATCTAAACACTGATTTTTTTTTTAACATTTTGCCAGAGGATATGTGAGCTTGCCAGAGAGAGAAAGAGAGAGAGAGAGAGAGAGAGAATATGAGAAAGCACCCCCAGGGGGAATGGCTTATTTGTGGTAGAACATTGAGTGCCAACTCATAAATATGATGGGGATGTTAGATTTTGGAATTGTCATTTTCCTTTATAATTTGCCAGAGGGCACATGTACTTATGAGAGAAAGACACAAAGACACAGAGACAAGGGGTAGGGAGATAAAGCATCCACCAATAGGTATGACCATACCACAAACCCTTCTCTTTCATCCTCCTTTCAGGATTTGGGGCATCCATACACACACCCACCAGGAATGTTTTCTGGCCACTGGGTCTAGGACTGGAGCAGCACAGTTGACCATGTGGGATTAGCTGCCTGAACCACCATGGCCCTGGCTGGCCCAAACACAGGTATTTTATTACTTTCTCCTAGAGTCTCAGGTTCAATCAAGGGTGAGAAAACCTCACTTGGAAGCTCCACATGTCACACTGTAGAAGAGTTTTTAATTATCCTAACATTGGCTAAAAGCTATTGAAACTAAACTGTTGTTTTACATATTTTGCTAATTGATTTAAGCAGTTTCTCTATAATTTTCTAAGAAATTTAAAAATAACTTCTAAGAAATATAAAAGTAGCTTGTTCAAACAAAAATCTTGCTGTCGATATTTCCTCCCATGTGTTTCATGCCAGCCCATCTAAAAGGTCCATCAAATTAGAAAGTTGGTTCTACCTGCTGCTATAGCATAAATCCAAAGGACCCCTGATCTGTAATAGAAAATAATTAAGTCAGCTTATATGAATATCCCCTTTAAAAGATGTAATCCAGCATTCAAAATCATGGTTGACAATTTACATAAAATGTTGTTTCGAATGAAATCCTGTTTGAGAAGACACAAGAACAGCTGGAGAGAATCAAACTGCCAGTCTCAGCAAGAGAACTTTTTTTCTATTGCATTATCTGAATTTCACTTCAAAAAACTACACTCAAAATCAGTCTCACTCCAAAGTTTGACATTTCTCCACGCCTCCACATTTCCATTAAAAAAGAAAACTCCATTATTTGACTTAAGAATCTTCATAGGGCATAATGCTTACCTGCATTAGAGCAGATGACATCTTGAGAATTCTTGCACATTTGGTTGCTTTTTTTCCTAGTCAGGTCACAGCTAGTGGGGTACTGGCATGCGCTTCCAGACCATCCTTCGTCACATTTGCACTTGCCACAGTCACACTTCCCATGGCCTGAGGATTTAACAGCATCCAGTGAGAGTCAGATTGTTTCCCCAAGGAAACCACTGTTGTGGTTTAGGTATGCTGGTTTAGGACTCAGCTATCCTAACTTCATACCCATGCAGAACACAGTGGTTGAAGGCTAATATACAATGTAACAGAGCATGAATATTTTATTTCAATAATCAGCTTTGGTAAATAACTATAAAAGCATTAGTTTAGAGAGATGCTAGGATAATATTCCAGAATTCTAGTAATAACCCACATTGTCAGAAAATTCAGCACTATAAACAAAGATTTCCACCTCTCATTTCAGCATTCAAGCAATCAAGTCTAGGACTCAACGTGCTCAGCCATGTGGGACTCCAGTGCCTTAACCACCATGTCACCTGCTAGTCCTCCCTATTTTATTTCTTAATGAAGAAATTTGGCTCAAGAACCAAATGGATAAGAGCAATATTTATTTATTTCCACAGAAATTCCTCAATTTTTAATGTTCTCAAACACCATTTTGTTTTTAGGCAATGCTGTTTTTACTGTTATAACCATTAACTTTATTAATTCCTGATTTATGAAGCCTCTCGATATTTTAACTGACTACACATTAGTCAGACTTAACTGTAAAGCATGTACAATCCTTGGCCCTTGTCCTCAAAGAACATACTAGCTTCAAAGTCAGGCTTTTATATGAGAAGTTGGCGTGATTTTCAGCCAGAAGCATTAAGTTGAATGATATAGTCTATGACTTACAGAATTAAGAAGGGGGACTTTCTGAATTTACTTGACATTTAATTGGACCTTCACATTTGAACAGTATCTGAATTGTGTAGGTAGCATATTCTTAGATTACTGAAGTTACACTATTATGCTATGTCTTGGTGCCTGAACGTCATAGACCACATGGGATGGAATCCTTGATCTGGGCTAACAGTCACTGGCATGGTGGTCAAAATCCACAGGATGAGGTCCAGACGGTAAGTCAGAATGGATGGCTCAAAGGCTGCCCATCTGGGCATGTTCAGCTGAGCTTAAATCTGTGACCATAAAATTCCTCTTCATGTGGGCAAGTTCATGTAAATATTTCTATTTCTCTTGTATTTGTCAAATTAATTATTCTATTTTACAAACAAAACCTTGAACCACTCTAATTGAAATTCGTTTTAGTCCATGCACATTTTAATCCATCAAACTGATGGCATCATTCTGCATTCCTGTCTGCCCCACACCACATTGTCAATCTCATCTGATTTGGTATCATTTGCAAGCATAAGCAATCTCTCCTGTCAACCATCCAGTCTATTTATAAAAATATTAAGGCAAATTCTTTATTTTTAATGTTGTCCTTCTTTATTACTGCATCCAGCGCTACTACTATTGATACCAAGCCTTATATATACATCTTTATATTTCTTTTTTAAATTTTTGTATTATTATTCTAATTGATTTTATACATTCAATCATTATATATCACTACAGTTTGTCCAGATACTGGAGATAGTGTGGGAAGCCAAATTCTTGAAGTATTTGATCCTCTTTTGGTAAATTAAGCATCTTGGAAACTATATTGACTCCTTAATGTTAGTATATTGGTTTGAACTACAGGAAGTCTTCAGTTTTGTAACTTGATTATTAGCTATTCCTTATGGTTCATCCCCCCAAAATGATGAGACATCTTGGCCCAAACCTAAGGTATACCCAGCATAGAAGGGTAGCAGTTAGTGGCTCAAAGATTACAGATTTTTAAAGACAGAAAGATAGGCACCCACAATAAGTTATTCACACTGTAATACACCCTAGTTTCAGCCAGTCCTGGTCACAGATGTGTACTCACCCAGAGTTCTCAGGTAGGTACTGGGATGTGAATCTGCCACCTTCCCCATGTTGGTCTGGTAGCGTTACCTCTGAAATATATAACTTCCCTTCCCCCTTTTCTCTCCCTTTTTTTCATTCTCCTTTTATATTTGTAGTGATACCTCATCATGGGTTCAATTTGCATTTCTCTAATGACTAATGATATTGAATATATCTCAACAGGCAATCCATCTCTCTTTTGGTGCTCCTTTTTGCATTTTTTTCTTAGTGTTGAAATTTGCATCGTTTTTATATCTTGGATAGAAGTCCATTGCCACAAATGTGATTTACAAATATTCCCTCCCACCATGTGGCTTGTCTTTCATGTTTTTTTAACAGCATCTCCAGCAAAAGGTTCTAATTTTAATTTATCACTTTTTCCTTTAACAATTCTTCTTTTACCTCTATCTGAACACTCTACTTAATTCCAGATTTATTCTTTTGCCGCACCACATAGTCTTTAATACTACAGTTTAAAGAAAGTATGAAAACCAAGTATTGTAAGAACTCTTTGTTCTTTTAAAAAATTATTCTGGCAATTGTAGTTCCTTTGATTTTTTTATGTAAATTTTAGAATCAACACATTACTATCTTTAAAAAAACTTGCAGAGGTTTTGATAAGAACTGTACTGGATTTTTAGATAAAATTAAAGGTAACTGCCATTTCAACAATATTTAGCCTATAAATATGGTAAAAAATGTGTTGGTGAATTGTTTAATGTTGTACCAATCCTGCATTTTGAGATATACTTCAACTATTAAGTGTTAATTTTTTATATATGTATATAAATAGGAAGGGACTTCATAAAGATCACGGGAAATCTAAATTAAAGTAGGATTTTATATTGGTGAAAGAAATTCCAAAAATAGACTAATAAGACTACATCAAGCTAAAAACCATCTGCATAACAAAAGTAACAACTAGGGTGAGGAGACAAACTTCAAAATGATAGAATATATTTGTAAATTATGCCTCAGATAATAGACTGATAACCATAATATACAGGGAACTCAAGCAGCATACCCTCATGCCCTCCCCCTAAAATAATCATTCATATGATCAAAAGATGGGTGGTGACCGGTAGATGGTATAATGATTATGTCACTGGACTCCCATGTAGTCAACTGCAATCCATTGAGTCTTGGACCTGGTGAAATAAAACTCACACCAAGCACATATATGTGTGTACCCAAGATGGAGGAGAATGGATTGTGGCATGGCCATCCCCTCGTGGGAGCGCTGATTTCATGCTTTCTCTCTGTCTGTCTCTGTCTCTCTGGCAAGTGCACATGCTCTATAATAAAAATCAATCTTGGAAAAGAAAAAAAAAAAGATGGGACAATGAGCTGAACAGACTTGTCTCCAAAGAAGACAAATAAATAAACAAAAAGCATATGAAAAAATTCTCAACATCTCTTATCATAAGGGAAATGCAAATCAAAACTACAGTGAGATACCATTGTAACCATAGTCAGGATGGCTAAGATGAAAAAAAATAATAATAATGACAAGTATGGTGAGGCTGTGGTAAAGTGTCCCTCCTACACTGTTGGTGTTTTCAATAGAAAAAACACATCATGACTTTTCTGACAACCTAATGTATAGTGATTAACTGTAAATAAAATATTAAATTAAAAAACAGAAAATCATGCATACTTTTTCATACTATGCATTTCCTTTTTAAAGAATTATTTACTTTTATTATTATTGTTGTTGTTTTTAACTCACCAGAGAGAGACAAAGAGGAAAAGTAAGAAAGCAAGTTGCCATGTCCAGAATATGAATGATGGTCAGCCAAGTGGAAGTCCAGCACCTGAAGCACCGTGTCACCTGCTGTCCCTGCATTTCCTTTTCTTAAGCTGTTTTTTTCTTTTTATTTTAGTTGCCAGAAACACGTACACTTTTCAAAGAAAGTCTGAGAGACAGAGAGGGAAAGTGAGAGGGAAAATACATCTCCTCCATTTCTTTATCCCATCATGATTTAGGATATGCACATTCAAACTCCTAGACTATTTTCTCAAGTTGCTGGCCTGGGATTCCAACCATGGTCAGCCATGTGGGATTAGTCTACCTTAACTACTAGTCTACAAGACCAGTGCCACAGTATGCATTTTCCATGAACATGGTGAATACTCCTTTTATATTTGTCTGCTAACATTTTGTAGATCTTTGTGTCTATGTTCATAAGTCATATTGGTGTATCGTTTTGTTTGTTATAATGTCTTCTTTAAATTTTAGTATAAGGAAAATATTGGCCTAATGAAATTATTTTGGATATGATCTCCAATCTTCTGTGTTTTGGAAAAAGTTGTAGAGACGCGGCATTATATCATTCTTAAACATTTGGTAGAACTTTGCAGGTGAGATATCTGAGCCTAGAACATTTTATAAATGTTCAACTATTACTTAATTTCTTTAATCAATAATCTACTATTCAGGTTATATATTTCTTTTTTATTGTATTTGCTAGCTTATGTCTTTAATGGAATTGGTCCATTTTATCCAAGTTGGTTCATTTATCAGAATAGAGTTTTTCATAATATAAGGTTATTTACTTTTAATGTTCATATTGCTGGTTGTTATGCATGTTATTTCATTCTTTTGTTGATCATTTTTGTCTTCTCTGTATTTTTCTTGATTAATTTGGTTACAGATTAATCAATTTTATTGACATTTTCAAAGAGGCAGCTTTTGGTGTATTTTCTTCATTGCTTTCTTTTCAATTTCATAAACTTCTCTCCTAACTTTCATTATTTAATTCCCTCTCTCTACTTTGGATTCAGTCTTTTTTCTAATTTGTAGGGTTGAAGTGTAAATAAATTTGAAACTTTTCTTCTGTTCCAATATAACATTTAATGTTGTAAAATTTTTCTATTGTTATAGGTGCACTCCATAAATTTTTAAGTCATTTTTATTTAGTTAAAAAGATTTTTACTATCCCTTGGTATTTCCTCTGACTTAAGGGTTATACAGAAGCAAGTTATTTAAAATCCAAATATTGTCAGATAGGTTTCTGCAAATGATTTTTAGTTTAATTCTATTGGGTTCTATTATTATGGTTTCTCTCTTGAATTTCTGAAAGCTTACATTTTGTTACTTAGAACATGACCTATCTGTTTAACTTGCCTTGTACACTTTAAGAGAATATAAATTCTCTTAT